ATAGTGATTTGAGATGCGTGGTTTCTAGGTAGATGAACTTAGGAATCGAATGGGAGTGGTTGAGAAGCTCTGGGGCGAGAGAGGATTTTATATCAGGCTGTGCAGAAAAATTCCTATTGAGGCCGGAATGGCAGTTGGTTTCGTTGTTTTCGGATGGTGCGTGGTGGCACCCGGGTTGAAAATGATTGGCCATGTTTCCGTCCCCGACTCGAAGGCTAGCACAATTAATGGAATGAGGTCGTTGGTAAGCCGGGACTTCTTTGGAAAGTGTGCTACATATCCCTGTTCGCCACCTGCCGTACCTCATTGAAGACCCTGTGGTGTTCGGTATAATTTGATATGCTCCGAACTGTACATATTCCCTAGTGCTATGTGAACCAGACATGAGAGGATACACTGAGACTGTAAACCTACTCCCGTGGCTACGCAGTCTTGGGGTGGAGAATTTGGTAACCATTGGTGGGAGTCATAGATTTAAGTTGGGGGTGTTGAAGGAGCTACCTCCTGAGTCGGTCATTACCTCTCGCTTGATTGATTTCTATGATGGTCTGCAAAATTCTAGAGCTCTAGGGAGTCGAGTAGTGTTGGACAGCATACAGGCAAAGACGTTCTTGTATAGGTCAGAAGCAAACAAGGGCTTGGAACGCCTATGTCAAGAGGTAGACAAGTATGTATGGAAGCAACAGTACAAGGAAATCCTCATACCCCTCGAGTTTGGAAGTCTGTTTCTTGGGTTCCGCAGTGATATACAACTGGGCTGATGGGAATTTAGTAAACGAGGCGTGTTCAGCTGGTATGCAGGTAAGCTGTGATTTTGTATCTTATTAAATCGATCTCGCAACACATTAAAAGTTTTCCAGGTTGAACAGAGGTGTTTGCCGGCGGTCAGCTGGACTATAACATTGGCACCAACTAAGAAGAGACAAATTCAGGACGCTATAAAGGAATCACCTCTCTACTTCCTATATCACTCCCGGACTTTCACCTCGGGCATAGTTTGTCACTTCTACAAGCTTGACGAATCGTGTCCACTCACAGTTTTACAAATCAAACATGAACTTATAATGGATGAGTTTGCTGAGCTCCAGCGCGAGGGATGGGCAATTCATCCACGTTTCTGGTTAGGGATACCTACAGCAAATCATCCAACGTTTTAGCTTAGGTTATTGATTAAACTCGGAGGGGTACGGTTGGGTTTCGGAAACAGGGAGCGGCACCCTGGTACAACTGAACTGTTTTACTCATTCTTTTTGCTATATTTTTGATACTTTGCGGGCCTACTCGTCGGATTGCTTGCGTTAAACTTGAGTTAATGGGTTACTGTAGGGGCTCTACCCCAGACAAGACTTTAGGCTACAATTGTGCAGCCCTAGCAAGTCACCCTGATAGTAAGTCAGCCTGAGGATGGGCGGGATGCACATTTTATAACAGAATCCTCTTTTTATATCCCCGAAAACCAAGATTTTGTTAATGAGGATAACAGCGGATGGCCGGTCACGCAGTGGTAAAAGACTAAATGAATATGTGGAGAACTGTGGCGGTAGAGGAATAAGAATGAGAGGTAAGGTAAAAAACAACTTCGTTTCGCACTCAACCAAACTAACAGTAAAGACAGCTGCATAAGTAAAACATAAACAATGAATCCTGATCCTTCCATCGATCACCACACCTCTCACTATCTCTCCATGCATACTGCTCTTTCCTCCATATGCTTCCATGATAACAAAGGAAAGACATGTCTAACGAAACTCTCCCATCAATCTCTGAACCTCCACACTAATCCATGAAACATCTAAACTTGCTGCTACACTCCCTAACCTCCCATAATCAATCCCAATCCAGCCACATCCATCTAGAACCTTCAACAGATTTCCCTATATTTAAGCGGAACTCAACCCCTTTGCCGTCGACAGATCCGCTTTATCTTTCTGCGTGTGGGAAGCACAGCACTTGTGTCACAAATGATATCTTGATGCCTGATCTCTTGCAACTTCAATAGTTCTTGGGTTATAAGGACATCGGGTTGCAGCCTTGTAAAGTATCGGGTGTCATGTCGTACTGGCAGGTATTATAGATCGGGAACTTGGGTAAGCATATCCAGTATGATTGAGTCCGGGTAAAGACGCCGTTACCGCATTGTATTCAAATCTACTCCACTGGCGTACCTAGGTTTCCCGACACAGCTGCCGGCGCCCCCACGGCATACGGTAGCCCCCGGCATGGCTTTACAAGTAAATCCGAAATCACTCTTATGTCCCCCCCTGTCCTGTTGGAAACCAGTAGTTTCTGCACGCCATGCCCTCGGGGGTGCCTAGAACATAGTGGATGTAACCCAAAGCAATCTTGCCTCCTGGTTGAAGCAGATTCCATACTGGAGATGTCTCGTCAGCGAAATGTTTTTCTTCTGTAGATGCCAATATTACAGATCAGTGATATGGGACAAGAAGAGTCTTTCTGGATGCTAGTTTTCAAGGAGGGGGTTAAAGGATTCTCCATGGAGGTACAGGAACTCGGAGGTGAAGAAATTATAAGTCCTGTATTCCTTTCCTCTTCCCTTTGCGATAGAACAAGTTGTTTTCCTTCCACTTTATCAGTCTCTTCCTCACGGCCCTTGCCGTCTTTTACACAGATTGAGGAGCTAGCATCGGAGGGATACCTTATTGCATCTGTAAAAGGTTCTTTCTGTCCCTCCGATGCCACGATCAGCCACAGTACCGACTCTCGCTACCACAAACCCAAAGGTGCAGTCAGCCCGTCCTGGAGGCTCAGAACAGACGGGCAGCGACAAAGTGGAGATGCCCAGAAAGGACCCGCGTCTAGTAGTGCGTCCGGAGGTCTTCCAGGGAGGGACCAGCCAGCCCTGTTATTTGTTCAGACCCAGGAACTGGCAAGATTGGTCCGATGGAACCTGGGATATTACAGTAAAATAGAGCCTGTTAATTCAAATTTATTATCCTGATCACCCTGAACCGGTGCAACACCAGCGATCCCCCTTTATCACCTTTTATCTGTCCAAAAAGGCACTACCTGGCCAGACCTATCTGGTTAGCGTCTTCCCAAGCATAATCCCCTACTTCACTCCCGATGAGCTAATAGATGCTCATTGCGGTCTACAAAATTACTTCAATCTAATTGGTTACCCGGTCCCGCTCACGCGACATGCGTGTAACTAATCCTCCTGTACCGTGAGTGTGCCCATTCAGTGATATTGAATTAGTTACACATTTTATAGTCACAGAATCATCAAATTCCATTCCTAGTATCTACTCTTGCTCCGAATCATTATTATTTTCTGCAGACTCTTATCCATTCCCAATTCTGAATTTTTTTTTGTTTTTAATTCTTTCATACTAAGCTCTTAATCCTAACTGCCATTTGAATGTAAAGGCCAATATTTCGGAAAAATGGGATAATCAAATCCCAAAACTGCTGACAAAACTAATCCTATAACCGGCTAATATGTACAATTGTTGTGATACTAGCATATCAGTCTCTTACAAACTATATTCTCTTGCCTGCCTGCTCCTCCTCCTCTAACTTATATAACTATCAAGATACTTATACAATAGCTTCTTATACAGTTTATTCATTGAGACATATAATAATTGAATAATCAAACTGTGTATGTCGTTAGAGTTGCCTCCTTAGTTATGGTCCCGTCAATTTTTCGTTTTTTTTTTATCTCTCAGGAGGGCTAAGGAGCCTGCTTTTTACTGTGCTTTCCCCCCCTTTTCCAAAGTAGGAAATTCTCAACTTCACAGCACATGGTTCACTTATTTGAGTTTCTACCGTAGTACAGTTGGAAGGTACCATTTCTAGAAACTATTCTCGGCCTTCTATAGAGCACTAGTATCTAGAACCCCTCCAGTTTTATAAAACTCAGCTGTACCAATATCTAACAAACCTCTATCGCTTCAATCCTCTAATCCGATAAGCGCCTTCTTAATCTATTATAAAAGTAATCCCTCGATACCTTATGCCATATAGTGGTACTACCAAAGCCAGCTGTTATATCATCCCTCACTCAACTTCAGCTCTACCATTTCAACCTTCCCTCCCTCCCTAAGACGAATGGGGGAATACTCAAATGCCCCAAAACAACACAAAACAAAAAAATAAATGAAAGGGGGGAAAGGAAAACACGATATAGGGAGTCAGTCAAGCATGATTGCCAAACGAACTATTTAAACCACCATCCCAGTACAGTACAGTAGCGAGCGGGTCACCGTTACAAGTACTTGTATAATACAGCACAGCGGTCTTTATGATACCATACCATACAATACCATACCATACCATACCATAAACCCCTAACCTCTCCGCCCACCAACACACCCACCACCATCAGACCCCACGCCACGCCACCCATCAAGTGACTCGACTTCCGGTAACGAGCACTACGATACAAGTCTAAATACCGCCGGAGAATTAAATTCACATCACCAAGCCCAAATAGAATAAAACTTTCATTCCACCACTCCACTCACACCCCCTCACTCGACCCCTCGGTCCCTTCTGAAATCTCTTTCCCTTTTGTCTTTTTTTCCTTACACACACACACATACACAGGCACGCGCGTATGCAGCGCACAAGCTCATATACCGCACGATCGCCGTTTCAACTCTTGTATATTTCCTTTTTTTAAAAAAAAAAAAGAAAAAAAAAAAAAGTAAAACATCTTCAGCTGTAATGTAGAGTATCGCAAACCGATGTCACGCGCATTGGGCGTATTGGGAATTGGGCGGTTGGGAGATAAGGATCGTATGCGGTGGGCAAGGTGGGTACGAGTAGGTGTGAGTGGATCCTTAAGGAGGAGGGGGGGGGGGAAGGATCGGGGAACGAGATGTCTTGGAGAAGCTTGGTTTTGTATTTTTAGTTTTATCTGATTCGGTGGGGTTTACGATTGTGATGTGGTGTCATACAATGTGGATTTTGCAGTTCATGCTGCACGAAGGAGACTGTCTATCTACTATTACCGAATGGCAATGAGGAAGGCAGCTCTACCACCCCCTCCATCTCGCCCAAACACCAACCACAACCTCCTCCTCATCAACAACAAAATATCTTTCGTGCCCACTGCCCGCAATGCATGCATGCTGCGGCCAGATCCTAACCTTACTCCCAAGCCTAACACTGCCCACATTCCCGTACGGAACCTCCGTGAGAATTCCATGTTCCTGGGAGATGCGACCAACGACCCATCCAGCACCCTCGAGCTCGTGCTCAAACTCCGCTTCATTCTCAGCACGCCAGTCCGATACGGTGCCCCAGCCCGGGTGCGCCCTCCCCGGCTCCCGCCCGAGGCCTACAGTGCCGACGTTTATGAGGGCTTCGTTCCCACCGCCGGTCCCCCGATGGGGGTACAGCGAGACGACTTCCGCGAGGATCGTCAGCGCAAGGTCGGAGGTTGTCAAGCCGTCCGGGGCAGTGGTGGAAGCGTGAGTCGATAATTGCTGGAGGTCGAGCATTGTGTACACCCCCGCGTGGAATTCCACGTGCATGCCCTTTTCCCGAAGGCCTGAAAAGAAGGAAATCATCCTTTGGAGCTTTGGCTGCACTTGGCCAGGGATTCCCGCTCCAGCGGTGGAAATAATGGTCGGGGTGGCACCAACGGATAGCGTCCAGCCAGTGCACTGTGGTGGTGAGATACCCTGCGCCTCGGCCTTGCCTGCAGCATAAACCGCGACATCAACCTCCTTTCGCAGCAAGTCCAGTGCCCCGTCGGAATCACTGACGCTGTAGGAGTGGCCGGCGTGGCAGTAGAACCCTACAAGGCCGATGCTGGACTCCTTTATACACTCCAGTAATTTCCCGAATGCCGGGGAGTCATGCTCGATGCCGGCGCGGCGAGTGCCCATGTCTAGTTTTACATAGACGCTCCAGTGCGCACCGGCGGTCTTGAGGGCACGGACTTGGGCGGGGTGGTCGACCAGCACAGATATTTCCAACCCCGGGTAGGATTCTTCAAGCCCTTGTAGCCGGTGGATGGACGACGCGGGGATGGGTATCCCATAAAGAATCTTTGCGTCTCATCAATAAATCACTGGGGAAATCATAGTTGGTTAGGAGGGGAACGTGCATCCTTGATAACCCCCTCCACAATCAACGGACCCAACCCCTCGGCTTCCTTCACGGTTGATACAACAACCTTCCCACCGCGAGCCTTATGGCCAAGCTGCAACCGACTAACCTCCACTGTCTAGCATGCCAATTCATACCGTAAGCTAATATCCATCTAAATATAGCCAAATCTCATCCAACCATTGCTTTTTCACATCACCACCTCGAAATGGGCATAAGGGGAGAGCAACAGAAAAGAAATAGAGAAGCCCACCTTATGAGTCTTTACATGCGGCCTAAACCCCACAGACAACGCATCCACTGCCTGCAGTACACGAGAGCAGTTTTTCTCCAGTACCGGTCGGGATATGACAGCCGAGGGCGTTGGAAGTTTATGTATCTTTTGTCCGATATATTCGGCCATTTAATATATTTGAGAGAAAAATCTAAGCGGTTGTAAATCCGACCGAGACTTAGACTAAAATCGAAATTGAATCCAACGGAACTGAGGGGTAGACTTGGTCCCTGTCCTTTGTTGATTTGGCTTTATATGAGTTGCCTGGCTAGGCAGGGTAAGCTGCTGTAGGTTAGTCTAGGGCAGAACGTGCCATCGTACCGATACCTAGACTAGAAAGTGGAAGCCGAGCATATTACCGTACTATGCTGTTATCACAAATTATTAATAACCTGCCTTACCTCATTGCCTGACCTTACCGATTAAAGTGAATACCGAATACCTGGCGAAATATCTCATGTAAGAAAAAAGAGGGAAAGGGAAAAGAAAAAGAAAAAAAACAGACCAAAAACGCCTATGCTATTGATATATACAGATACATGACAGCAAACTCAACAGGCAGGTCATAACTTCATTTACAAATTATGAATGTTCAAAACGAGAACATATCAGATGGAAACGGTGACAAGTAAAAATTAAAGGAAAAATAATTAAGGAGAAGAAGACTAGCCATTCTTCCCCCGACTCCTTCACGCCTATGATATAAGATGAAAAGCCCCCAGGATAAACAAGAACGGTAATTGAAAGGAAACAGAAAGAGAGGGGAAACAAGTATGAATCCCCACACGTTTATCATCTAGGATCCACGGCACGCGGCATACCTGAATGAACCCGAGTTTTGACATCAACACGCTAATCACCACGGGTGGTGCCTCCGGGTGGTAGCCATAGTAACACCTGTCACTATGAAGGATATGAGACTTGATATAAATAAAACAGGAGAAAAGAAATGTCCGGGAGTAGATGGGTGGGGAGCAAATTAGGCGAAGGGTTTTCTGGCGACGATAAAGTAGCTATTCCTGTCAGCATTCCAGGGCTTCGACAAGGCGTCCCGGGGGAAACGAGGAGGCATACTTTGGATTATAAACATGAATGTGTTTATTCTTGAGATCCCTTTGAGCCCTCGTGCACAGCTCTCTAGCTTCCTCCCCCGTCATGCCTAGCACCCGCGTGAATAACGCTAGCCCGTATGCTTCGAAGGAGGTGTCTGAATTGAGCAGCGCCCAGTACCCTATTTCCTTCATTCGAGGGTCTTTGGGCCAGGGGCCCCAGGGCATGTTGCGAACTTCCTCCTATTCCCCTGTCAATACCATTGACCCATTTCGCCTCGCACATGTGGAGATTATAGAGATAAGACGCACCCTGACTTCTACAAACCCGGCCTTGATAACGAATTCTTTTAATCGTGTGGCGATATTTGGTACGCCCATTTGCTCAAGGGAGAGATTAAGATTATGCATGTATACACGCAGAGCGCAACCCGGAGGATAACTGCCATCATCGCTGCGTACGTCCATTAGGTGCTCAATCAGCTCTATGTAGCCACCAGGCTTCAGGTGGTGGAAGATCTGCTCGAGGAAACGCTCCCAGTTCTTGATGCTTTGGCCAAGAAGCCGGGAGTGAATAAAGTCAAAATGGTTCTATAATCTTAGCGTCAGCACTATTGAAGGGGTGTGTGAGGCAGTGAGTGTCACCGGTGGCCACGTCCATCCTAGCTCCGCATCGTCAACTTCAAAACGGCAGTTCGGGAGCACCATAGTTGGTTGAATGGGGCTTAAGTCGGTCCCAATGACGTGAGCATGTGGGAAGTGTCTGGTGTGATAAGGCCTGTTAGCAATTGAGGTTGTCTAGGTTGGTTTTTACGGAAACTACTCTGCCATGTCCAGCGCCCAAATCCCGGTCCCCGTGCCAATGTCCAAAATTCTTTTGGGCGGATTCCGATCCAGTGGTGCAAGAAACAATTTCCCATCCAACATTTTTAAAAATATCTGGTGATGCATGTCAAGGCTGTAGCAATGTTAGGGGCTCACGGCTCAATTCCGCAGCGCTGAATTCTAACATACCGGTCCTGTTCCGTCTCATCATTCGGCATTGGATAGTTGCCCTGCGAGTAACTATGGTATCGGCGACCTACACAATGGGATTTCAGCACAATGAGTTCCACAGGAAACCAAGTCAAGCCAGGGCCTTAAACGACGGGTGGGGGGGATCCGAAAACAAAAACAAAAACTCACCATGTTCATACTGATAATCCACAACGCTGGACGTTATCGACACGCACCCACTCGGACTATCCCAGGGCACATCCAATCCATCGATTAGCCATGAGAAAACGCCAGGACGATGGTCCATGGACCTTAAAAGCAAGTGGAAGGGGGAAGTGGGCAAGATGACATGTCATGCGAGGAGGAATTTCCAGGTTTCCAAAAAGGACAGAACAAAAACTCACACTTGATCCTCATCACTTTCATGATAGTCCTAATATTTCCCATCAACCCAATGCGCCATGGATTCAGGAAAAATTAAGAGGTGGGCACAAAACATACCATCCCAGAGTCCACCTCAATATTCATGCAATCGAGGGGCGGGAGAGGCTCCCTATCCATGGGTTGTCCACTCATCGTGAAATGCCGACCGCTAGCCAACGAAAACGAAAGAGCAAATCGGATCAGAGGGGTGGATGGAAGTGAAAAGAGGAATCCGGCGAGTTGAAGTTGAGAATTGCAGATGCAGCCGAGCCTGTCCTTCCCTTCCCTTCCCTTCCTTCCTTTCGCAAAAAGGGCAACGAATAAATTGAGCGGATGAGCGGACCCAGGCCCTCGGGAGAGCGCGAGGTAAGGGGTGGATAAAGTGGAAGGCAAAGAAAAGACGAAAAGGCACCTGTGCGACTTTTATGGAAAAAAAAAAATCTTCCACTCGTATTGTGGCCCCCGAACGGGATTATATACGGACCCAAGGAGCTGGGTGCCGGTAACTTTGTTTTTCGAGGATAGAGGGAGGGTAGGGAAGAATGGGAGCACAAGTACGAGAGGGAATACCACAACGCACAGCAGAGGAAAGGGAAGGGGAAGGAAGAGAATGAAAGGACGGACACAGACGAAAAAGAAGCGGGGTAGGGAATACTGTGCAAGCCGGGGAATGGGGAATTTTCTTTCAACTCCTTTTTCCTTTTTCCTGTTCTTTTTCTTTTTCTTTTGTTTTTGCTTCAACCTATCGATGCCTTGTCGGTGACTTTTTTCCTTTTTCCCTTTTTTTTTTTTCTTTCTGGCTCTCGGGAGAGTGAGAGAGAGTGAGAAAGAGGTAAAATGGTTGGAAGTGGGGAGCGAGAGGACGAGATTCAGAGGTCCCACGGCACTTGCCTGGAGGTGAACGTGGGTGCGTGAGTGAATGAGCGAGTAAGTGTGAGTGAGTGTGAAAAGGTCAGGGTGGAGGAGGGATGATGATGGATAAATGTACGGGAAAGCACCGCAAACAGACAGGAAGGGAGCTTTTTCCTTTTTTTCTTCTTCTTCCCTTAACTCTCTCTACTCGAGTACCGGTACCCGTAGTGCTACGACCGTCCTCAGGATAGGGTCGAGGCCGTGAGAGAGGATACGAGATACTGTAGGATATGAGGGAGGTATGGCGAGAGAAAAAGAGAAAGGAATCCTGCCAGCTGCCAGCCATAGCAAGCGTACGGACGGTAAATGCGGTAGCGTAGGGCACTCCAGCATTCTAACTCCTCGCAGGAAGGTGCAGTATGAGAAGAAGAGCGCCGTAGAGCGATGCAACCACCGATTCGCTGCGGCTACAGTCAAGTCTACCAATGCAAAAAGAAAAGAAATCACAAGGAGTGGTGAGCAGAGAGTGAGGCAAGTTCAGAAAGAGGGAAAGCGGGAAAATGTCAGAAAAAGAAAGGAGAGAGAGGAAAGCAGTTGAAGAGAGAGTCTGGAGCGGAGAGAAGAAGCTTCAAGCCCGCAGATCGCGGTACCAGTATGATACCGGTATGGTTGGTACCCCTAATTTGGGGCCATCCTTCGAGGCCACCAATCCTCCCATCGTACCGCATTGTACGCTATTAACTCACTTTACCTACCGGTATTCCTTCGACGAAATGACTCCAAATCACGTAGAGAACTCATCCACAGAGCGGACTTCATTCTAGAGGTGTGGCTCCCACCGTAATAACTCTTGGGGTTGAGGGAAATTTTGGATGAGCTCCAGAGACAGATAGTATCATACAAGTATATATATACTGTATATATATACAAAAAAAAGGACAATTGACCGAGCAATAAATCACACCAATTAATTGCCCAAGGAAGTAAGGCAACCTACTATATTATGACTACCGTAGTGCCCCAGTTCCCGTTTGCACTACAAGTATGGCTCGTTTCTAATGGGCCGGGACCATAATAGATATCATGCTGTAATTTACGTACACGAGTGCCATGGGGTGGTCAACGAGAACTCGCGCAGTATGACACCTGCTCAAGTACCGTACGGTACTTGTGTCATACCGGCCTTGGTAGTCTACGGGTGAGGTGAAGTTAAGTTACAGTACAATAGCAGAGACGAGTGAGTCGATCCGCTCCTACCGTACTCCGCTTTCTACGACATCCACACCACCTCTTAGCCCCCTCAGAGTTTCACCCCAGGCATTAGGCTGTAGCCCCCACCAGGGCGATCCTCCCACCGCCACAAGCTCATCCATTCCTAACTAATTCCTCCCCCCCCCCCTAGCCGAATAACGTCTCTTCCGACCGAAACCGCTAAACTGTTTATGGGGGGGGCGCACTCGTAGACCGTCACTTTAAGATATCGAAGGAATTGCGACGTTTCATGCTATCCAATCCCAATCATGTGATCTTGTTTTTCCTGTACCGGTACTCCAACCCAGCAGGATTTATGACCACCACAACCCTTCCCTCATGCCACCTGCGCACTGTACAATACGGTACTGTAGGGGTAAGAGCAGCAATTCAGAATGACCACTATCGTGGCCCGAACCTCTTCCACCCCCCCATCCGCAGTATGAAATGCCCCCTACCGGATATCTGATCCCATCCTTATTGAACACTGTAACGGAGCTCTGGCCATGATAGAGGTATAAACCCGAGACTCTACTACTGGTATACCGTACTCATAGAGGTACCTAAACCATTAGTGAGCCGCTAACAATACACTCGCAACGACGATCTTAACATCAGGCAGCCCCCCCCTCGTACGCTACCGGTAACACAGGGAAATTGCGATTGCACTAGAGAACTCAGGCAATGCCACTCACTCACTCACTCACTACCACATGCACGGAGGAGACCACTGCAGTCATTATACGGGTGTGTATGATACCGAAAAATCAATGAAACACCCACCAAATAAAAAAACAGAAACAAAAGGAGCCCAGCCGTCCACCCTCTCTCTCTCTCACTGGGCTCGAGCAGAAGTATCATACTTATACGGTACCCCCCCAAGCCCCACCCATGTTGGCGGGTTCATGTGCTTTGCCGTGTCACGGTCTTAAGCTTTTGTTTATCGACATAATTATTGCTTGTCCTCGTGGCTACCCCGGATAGCCACTCCCCAATCGGGAATCGAATTCTGGGGGGTGGTACAATCGGGTAGGGTACAAGTATGATAGAAGCACAAATACCGGTACTGTACTCGAGTACTGAGTACAGTACTCTAGTAACTTACGGTACCGGTCCCGTCACTTGAGTTGAATAAAATTCTGTTTTTGGCGGGCATGGCTTGACCAATCGGGGGTTGAGTGCGGCTATTACTTAATTGGTCTCCCGTCATTTTTGAAAGGGGGAGGAGGATTGGATAAAGGAGTCTGTGCGCAGGGTTAGGTTACCAGTAGTAGAGTGCAGCGATTGCTGGCTTTGGCCAGGTTTGGCTTGGTTACCAGGGTAGTATCAGAAGTGGGTTTGGTTGCTGAGGTGAGGCATCATACCCGTACCAGTAAAATCTCGCACTAACGAATAGGACGGGGCTGATTAATAGGGCGTTTCATTGGCTAGTGGGAAAAACTCTTTGAGACAATTCTTTCCTTGCCGTTGTTGCAGCCATGATGTGAAGCCGACCCCTCATAGCAGGGAAGGGAACTCCGTCCATGACTAAGCCTCCTTATCTTAGCTGTGTTTGAGACTTTACGCTACCACACTCGGGTACTGCACTTGTATGATGGCTAATTATTGTGCTAGAGCACCATACCGGTATCTGGATTGGCCGTGGCAAGGGTGGAGATGTTTTTCCTATTCTCCCGCGAGCTCAACAGCCGGCCGAACCCAACTTTCTCTTCCCATAATAATTTAACTTACCGTGGACCACCGCACGGTACCGGTAATTCAGTCAATCCCAGCCCACCCTGCAAAACTGCGCACCACAATACCTCTCTCGATGCGAGCAGCTCCCCCCCCCCGGATTCATAATAACCTTATGCCATTCCATGTCCGGTCCGGCATACAGGTAGACACTGCAGAGTAAACTGTTGAGAGAAGCTCGGACTCAATTCCTTTCTCTCTTAGACCTTTCAGGCTTCAGCCCCAATTACTGGCCCAATCTGCACGCCAGCGCGCTAGCGGCCGAGGTCCAACCCTTGTTCATCATATGTTAATTTATTACTGCAGCTTTTGCAAGGGAGTGGGGGAGGGAAGAAGGAGGAGAGAGAAAAAGAAATAAAGCACAGAGCTCTCAACCGTGTTATTGGGTCCAAGGTTTCTTTTTTTCTTTTTTCTTCCCTTGCTTTCTTCCTTTCTTTCGTTTCTTTGCCCCCTGGACAGCGTTCCCGAAGGAGAAGGTACCAACTCCAAAGGCACTCGTACAGTACTCGAACACAAGCATCATGGAGAGCTTGTACCGGTATGGTGCCTACGGTCCGCTAGAGCTTGATGATATGATAGCATGCGGTGCGAGCAGTTAATGCGCGGCCCACAGGGGACAGGAGGCAGGAACGGGGGCGCAGGGAATTGAGCGGGGAGTTGCCGTGGGCTACGATTGTGTTGAGCTACTGGCGGCCATGAGTAGTTGAGTTATTATAGAACTCGACCCTACAGTAGCGCTTTAGCCACGGGAGGTATTGCAGCAGCCTCGTGTAGGTTACAGTACTGTAAGAGGAGCGGCGCCCTACATCACAGTGGTCCAGTTCTGTACGATATATATCGTAGTAAGAACCTTATTACCGGCACTTGTACAAGTACCATCCGTGGATCACCGGACCGCCGTATCATACTGTGCCTCCAAGGGAGGAAAGAAAAAAGAAAGAAAGAAAAAGTCCAACCGCGTGGAATTCGGGCACTTCCAACATGCAAATGTGGGGTTTTCAGTACCGGAACGTCGGGAAACTAGGGAAGTAAGCAAGTAAGCAAGGCTGAAGTTACAGTATCAATGTGGAATGTGGTACCGTGGCCCACCGTGCTGTACTCGTACTCGTACGGGGGTATAATACAAGTAGGGAGAATTGGGAGGGGGGTAATGGAATGGGGGTTGCGCGGTGATTGTGAATGATCAGCGGCACTTACTTTGGTACACACACCCCTTAACGGGCACGACAGGTCAAGGCAAGGAGGGTAACTCAAACACTTTCTGTTGCCGCTGGGGTACCCGTGCATATGGAATACCTGCATCCACTCACTCGGAACCCATCAATTTCCAAGAAACTTCGACGGCTCATCGCCCTGCTATGATCATTATTCGTTTCCGGTCCTGAACGAAAGAGCATCCGAGATAAATTTACGCACACCGTGCTCAATCGCTCCAATAATCCTCCAATAATCCGGACCAGTCAACAGTACTCGAGTAGTCACGCTCAAGTAACGAAACCCGCCCATCCTATCGCCGGCATCGACCGGGACCACACTCATCGATGATACGGATAAAATACTTGTACAAGGGAAGGATACGCTAACTTATCACTTATCACTACAACCGTACCCATACTTGTAATTGGGCCCGCCGTCCCTATCGAGGAGGAGGGGAAAGGTGAATATCATTTTTCTCCTATACTTTCTTGCCAGCTGCCAGGTCTCAGAAGGTGGACGGAAAAAAGTGCGTCACGGAACTCCCCGTTGCAAAGTCGTGAACGCGTGAACGGATATTTGAGATTCCTATTTTTTTCTGTTTCACTCAACCCAACCCAACGCTCCACCCCTCCCCCTTCCCCGCG